GAGAAAAAGAGGGAGGATAGAGAGAAAATGAGTGAGAGGGACAAAGAGAAGGAGAGAGATACAGATCGTGCGTAGAAGGTGGGTGAGAGCAGACATAGAGAGTCAAGTAGAGAGTAGAGGACCAAGATTTTTGCCACCGCGGGCTAACGTGGAGTATTTTCGAAAATGTCAGAGGATCCACTGGATGGGTTTGCTCTCTGGTGTAATGACCGCTTGACTTTATTTGATATCTAGGTCGTCGTCTGTCGGTCGTCTTCTGAGGCAGCACCGCGCTTGAACCCTGGCCCCCGACACCGCGTTTTGTTCACAACGTGGTTCCTCCAAAGGCCCAGCTCGGCCCCATGGACAGCCCGTTGCATCCCTGGCAGTGTTTGGACGGCGCCCGGGCTTGGCAGGAGCCCATCGAGCCTGAAAGCGGCAAGCTATTCTCCGTCGTCGCTCTGTCGCGTCGCGATCGGGTGCTCGGAGGAGAGCGCACGGACCCCCCCGAACGCGCCTGGATCCTTGCAGCGCACCCCGCCCCGAGAGCTGCAGCTTTGCCATCAGGGGGGCCGAGGCCGCTCTGCCGGCGATGTATCACCGATTCGAGCTCGCCCCGGGGCGCGAAGGTCACCGCGCTCCGCGGGTCGCTGGCCGGGCCAGAGCGGTGGCCATGCTCCATGGAGGGCGGCGCGAACCCTGATGGTCCGCTAGCGAAAATTTCCGGTAGCGCTCCGCAGAGATCGGTCGCTACCGAAATACCGAAATGTAGCGCCCAATACCGGTATCAGAGCGTTCTGAAATCCGCTATTTCAACGCCCTCAAACGAAGATCCGGTCGCTACCGAAATTCGGGGTGCGTCGAAATCGCTGCCGAAAATTTCCGGTACCAGACCATCTGGGAAGGAGCAAGGGCGCGAAGGTATTCGCGCACCGCGGGGCGCGGTTCGCGAAGTTTGGTGAGGCCCGGATGCCCCCCCCGCCCCCAAGGACCAGGAGGGTACATTCCCCAATCAGAGCTTGCCTCTGTAGCGGTCCTAGCGGATTTAAGGGTAGGTGAGGTGTGCCGCCGATTCGGTGGCCGGGCCCGGGTGCCCGGGTGCCCGGGTGCCCGGGTTCGCCGCCGATTCGGTGGCTGGGCCCGGGTGCCCGGGTGCCCGGGTGCCCAGGTGCCCGGGTGCCCGGGTTCGCCGCCGATCCGGTGGCCGGGTGCCCGGGTGCCCGGTGCCCTGTAGCCCTGTAGCCTTCTAGCCTTATATCCCTATCGCCCTATAGCCCTATAGCTCTATAACCCATATAGCCATATAGCCATATAGCCCATATAGCGCCCAAGAGCCCATATAGCCCTGTGGCCCTATAGCCCTACAGCCCTAAAAAGATTCCTAATGGGTTTTCTCTGGTATCACACACACATACATACATATATATATATATATATATATATATATATATATAAAAAAACAAATGGACGAATGCCAGGTCCCTAGCCCGGGGGCCCCGCCCACCTCAAAACCATCGGGCTCCCTTTTTTGATATCCCCGCCCTGGCGCCCAGGAGGCCTCCAAGACGGCCCCAGGAAGCACCCAAGATGGTCTTGAGGGCTCCGAGACGCCACAAGATCGGTCCAAGACGCTCAAGATAGTCCCTAGACGGCCCAAGAGGCTTCCAAGACGCCCCAAGAGGCCTCCAAGAGGATTTTTCAAGAGTGCCACAAGAGGCAACATTTTTTTTTTTTTTTTTTTTTTTTTTTTTTTTGTTTTTTTGTGGTTCTCACCTTTTTGGCTTCCCGACGCTCCAAGATAGCCGAAGAGGCTCCCGAGATCGCCCAAAAATTGCCCAAGAGGCTCCCAAGACGGCCCCAAGACAGCCCGAGAGGGACCCAAGCAGCCCAGGAGGCCTCCATGACGGTCCAAGATAGCCCAAGACGGCTCTAAGAAGGGGCCCAGACAGGGAATCCGAACAGACCTTTCGGGCCTTCGGCCCCGAAAAGCCCCGAGGAGACTCCACGAAGCGCCCCGGAGGACCCCAAGACGCCGCCAGAAGCACCCGAAGGGCTCCCAAGATGCATGTCACACACACACATATATATATATATATATCTATATTTGTCTGTCTGTCTGTCTGTCTGTCTGTCTGTCTGTCTGTCTGTCTGTCTGTCTGTCTGTCTGTCTGTCTGTCTGTCTGTCTGTCTGTGTGTGTGTATGTATGTTTGTATGTATATGTATGTATATGGATGTATAGGTATGTACATGTATGTCTATGTGTCTATGTATGTATGTATGCATGCATGCATGTATGTTTGTATATATGTATATCTGTACGCATGCATGTCTGTATGCCTGTATGTCTGTATGTCTGTATGTCTGTATGCATATGTGTGTATGCATGTAAGCATGTATGTATGTATGTATGCATGCATGTCTGTGTGTATGTATGCATGTCTGTCTGTCTGTCTGTCTGTATGTATGTATTTATGTATGTATGTATGTATGCATGGATGCATGTATGCATGTATGCATGTATGCATGTATGCAGGTACGTGTATGTATGTATGCATGCATGTATGTATGTATGTTTGTATGTATGTATGCATGCATGTATAAATAGAAATGTCTTTAGAACACGTAAGTACATGTATATACGCATTAGTCTCTATACACACATATACATATTATGAATGTATATATGTATGTATGTATATATATATATATATATGTCTATACATACACATATATATATATATATATATATATATATATACATAAGATACCGCCCCCCCCCAGCCCCGTATCCCACACCTCCCCGCCGCATCTCGGGAACGCTCCCGGTACCGCTCCCCGGGCCTTTCCGGAGAGCCTCCACAGCGCTCCAGGAGAGGGCCCAAGACGCCTCCCAGGAGCCCCCAGAATCGAAATGATGGCCCAAGACGCTCCCAAGCAGCTCAAGTCAGCCTTCCGACGGCTTTCGAGGCTCCCAGGTGGCCTCCAAGAGACCCCAAGAGAGGTCCGAGAGGCGTCCCGGGACGGCCACAAGAGGCCAAAATCGTCGATGTTCATTGCTATTTTTCTATGTTTTTGGCTTCTCGCGTTTTCGAGCTTCCAACGGTCCAAGAGCGCCGAAGAGGCTCCCAAGACCGCCCCAAGACCACCCAAGAGACCCTCAGGACGGACCCAAGACGGGTCAAGAAGGCTCCAAGACTGCCGAAGAGGCCCCCAGGACAGCCCCAGACCACCCCAGAACAGGCCCAAGATGGGCCCAAGAGCGGGAGCAGGAGGCTTCCAGAGACCTCCGAGAGGCCTCCAGGACCACCCAGAGGCCCCCCACACACCCCCGATCCTTGAGAGACCCCAAAAAGACACCGACGAGGCTCCAAGAACAGCCCAAGAGAGCTGCGAGAGCCGTCCCCAACGTTCAATGGTTTTTCTGATGTTTTTCGCCTTCTCACGTTTTCCCGCTTCTAACCCTGGAAGATCGAGGATTTTGAAAAATAGGGAATTCCCAGACTTCCTCTTTTTTTTCCAGGTTGACTCTTACTCGGAGATCCCACACACCTCCTGACATCTGGCCGGTACCGCGCCTCCCGGCTTCCCGGAAGGCCCCCAAGACGCCCAAGGACAGCCCAAGACGACCCCAAGGAGCCCCCAGAATGTGGAGAACGGCCTAACACGCACCCGCGCAGCCCGAGACACCTTTCGACGGTTCTCCAGGCCTCCAGGAGGCCTCCAGAACCCTCAGGGGGTCCGGAAGATCCCCCACACCCCTGAGGGGCCCAACTAACAAAACCCGCGAGGCACAAGCAAAAAACAGCGCCGAACAGCGCCGAGGAATTGGAAAGAATGGGAATCCCACAATTATTATTTTTCTTTCCAAGTTTGGCCTCCGGTCTACTATTGCACAACAGACCACAATTCAGACCCCCCTCACCTCCCAAAAAAGAACCCAGGAAGCCTTGAGGGCCCTAAATCTTTGAATGCCGAGAAGGAAATGAAGGATTTCTGCGTTTCCGCATTTCCCCTTCTATACGATTCCGAGGCTTGCGAAGGGCCTTTAAGGGAGTCCCTGGACGCAAGAAGCGACCAAAATGATATTACATGAGTTTGCCTATGAAGCCTAGCTAGAACTTGAGCGCGCGCGAAGCGCGCGCGAAGGTTCTAGTGTGTGTGTATATATATATATATATATATATATATGTCTGTCCGTCTGTCTGTCTGTCTGTCTGTCTGTCTGTCTGCATGCATGCATGCATGCATGCATGGCCGGGGGAGGGCCCGGAACCAGGACACCTGGTTTGCATGGGGGCCCTTGGGGGCTTTGAGTGCTCCCAGAGGGCCCAGAAGGGGCCCCAGACCCCCTCAGAGGCCTCCAAGCTGGCCCAAGAGGCTCCCAAAGCGCCCCAGGTTGCTTGGAAGATGGCTGAGAAGCGCACTGAGATGGCCTCAAGACGGTGCAAGAGCGTTCCAAGACAGCCCAAGACTGCTCCTAGACGGCCACAAAGGCCCTGAAGACGGTCCAAGAGGCCGCCGGGAGGGGCAAAAATCAAGCATTTCCTCAGGAACTGCGTCTATTTTCTGGATATTCGCTTTTTCAGTCCTAACAGCGGCTGCGACGGCCCCAAATGCTCCCAAAGTCTGGCCAAGACAACCCAAGAGGCCCTCAAGAGGGCCCCAAGACGGACTCAAGAGAGCTTCAAGCAGCACAAAAGAGCTCCAAGGCGGCCCAAGAGAGTCACCAGAGGATCCCTACACGGTCGGAGAGGGCCCCAATAGGGCCCCAAGACGGCCTCAGCCCCCCCACGAAGGCCAAGGGGGACCCAGGACGGCCGAAAAGGGCCCCCAGACGGGCCAAAGAGGCCCAAAAGGAATCCAAAGGAAGGCCCGAAGAGGTCCCAGAGACGCGCACAATGCTTCCAAAAGGCTCCCAGGAGGCGTATCAGTAGGCAGTTGGCCCCTTTTAGCGTATGTGAGGTCTCGCGTCTACGTCCTGCAAGGTCCATCTCGGGGCTTTCAGAGGCCCCACAGAAACATGCTGCGGGGCGCCGGCAAGCAACCAAGACACCCCGAACTCACGGTCGAGGTCAGGAGTGTACCGCCATGGGCGGGAGGGCGGCATACTAACCTTGGCTTTGGGACCGTCGGTGGAGCTCCAAGTGGGACACGACCCGCGTGAGAAACCCAGTCGCCCTGGGGGGACGTGATGTTATGCGAATCCTCTCACAACGGGGCACGTGAAGCCGCGTCCTTCTGTCCGTCCGGGGACCGCTAGACTCCATTGGCAGAGGAATTACATTGTTTAGACCTCAATTTTTTTCCCCCCCAACAGGCATCGGTTGTCGGGGGGAGTCGCCCGATCAATCGTGCGGGAGTGGTTACCCTTGTAAGCCCGTCGATGACATGGGCGTCTTTCTGCGTCCAAGCGTCATCGTCAACTTCGTCGCATTATCGCTGCGGGTTCGTCGCGACGTGGAATGCTAACGCGGCGCAGGCAATCCGCGCTGGCGGTCCGATGTATGTATGTATGTATGTATGTATGTATATATATATAGGATTTATGTGTACATACATACACATACACCTGTTTGTGTACATGTACATACATAAGTTTATTTATTTGTACGTTATAGTTAAACATGTTGATACATGTCTGTGCATATATACATATACATATGCGTGTGTATATGTAGTTATACTACCTCTACACCTGCATATTCATACATATTTTATGTCTGTGTAAATGCAAATGTACATCTATATGTATTTTAAATGCATTTGTATATGTATAGGTAGGTACATCTGCATATGCATATGCATATTTTTGTGTATATTCATAGGTCGATGTTTATGTATCTGTGGATGTATAGTTCTATGTATGCGTATAGGTCTACTCATATGCTTATATTTAGTTGTCTGCATATGTGTATGCATGTGTACAGTGTGGTCGATGTAGATGCATGTGTATAGCACATGCATCTGTATTTGTCTGGGTATATGCACGTGCATGCGTATATGAATGCACGCACATGTATGCTGCGCGCATAGCTGCATGTGTATCTGTATGTGTACATATACACATATGTACAGGTATATGCATGCGTGTATGTTTGCGTCGGTGTAAACACAACTGTATATACATATAAGGTTCGGTCTCGGTCGATGTGTATGTGTATCAGTTTATGCATACGCATGTGTCTGTGCATGTGTAAGTGTAGATGTGTTAATGTATGTAGCTGCGTATATTTAGGTGTATGGGTATGTACGTGCTTCTTGTTGGTGCTTTGCATGTACATGTAGATGCTCATGTATATTTGCATGTGCATGTACACATTTATGGAGATGCATTTGTAACTGTGGGTGTCAGTATATATATATATGTGTAGATAGCTGTCGTTTTGACTGTAGATGTATATGTAGATGTATCGGTATATGTAGATGTAGGTCTATATGTATAGGTATGAGCAGATGCGTGCGCACATTTATTGATTGTATGTGTATATACATACACATACATGTACACATGTACCAATATATGTATTTTGCACATACATATCTATATATGTATACGTAAGTATGTATGTATGGATACTTGGATACATGATCACTTATGTCGGTATGTGTATGTCTGCATGTCTGTATGTATGCATGTGGAGAGGTATGTATGCATGTATGTCTGTATATATGTATGTCTGTATGTCTGTATGTCTGTATGTAGGTATGTCTGTATGTGTGTGTATGCACACACACACACATATACATATACATATATATATATATATATATATATATATATATATATGTATGGCCTTCGGCCCATCCCGCGCTCGGGTGCCTCTTGGGAGCAGTTTGGGGCCTCTTGGGGACCTCTTGGGGACTTCTTGGGGGCTTCTTGGGGCCTCTTAGTGGCCTCTTGGGGCTTCTTGGAGGCCTCTTGGGGGCCTCTTGGGGCCTCCCAGGGGCGCAGCGGGGCCGAGGGCTCGACATGTCCGTTCGGGTTCCCCATCTGGGCCCCCTCTTGTGGCCGTCTTCGGGCCCTCTTGAGCCGTCTTGGGCGCCTCGTGGGCCGTCTTGGGGCCCTCGTTGGCCGTTTTAGGGCCCTCTTGGGGGCCTCTGGTGCAGTTTTGGGGCGATCTTGGGGGCTTCGTGGGCCGTCTTGGAGCGTCGGGAAGCCGAAACGGCAAGAACGCTAAACTTCTTCAAGAACGAAAGGCAGATCACAGATTTTGGCGGCTTGGAGGCCTATCGGGGTGTCTTGGAGGCATCTTGGGCCGTCTGGGGACCATCTTGAGCGTCTTGGAGCGATCGTTTGGCGACACGGAGCCCTCTTGGACCATCTTGGGGGTCTTTTGGCCCGTCTTGGGGCCCTCTTGGGGCACCAAAAAGTCATGCGACACGCCGCGGGGAACCGTGAGAACACCAGGAGATTTGTGAATTTGGGGCCTGAGCCCACATTCGCAAAAGGACTGAGGCTTAATGGGGTTAGGCACAGGACCTGAGGACACGCTCACTCCGCGCATAACGGCACAATGGCGGGTGTATATTTATTTCATGCATATTTATGTAAACACATCTGACATATATCTATATATAAATATGTACATATGTATATATGTAAGTCGGTCGATCGGTGCGTAGACAGGTCGACAGGTATGTATGTACATATTAATGTACGTGTGTACGTATGCATGTATGTATGTGTATATGCACGTGCGTACGTGCCAACGTACGTATGTATGTATGTATGCACGTATGTGTGCGTGTGTGTATTGTTGCATGCATGTATACGTGTACGTGTGTAATTATGTGTGCATGTATGTATATGTATAGGTAATGCGTGTAATGCATTGCACATTGATATATGAGTGTATGCATGTGTATATATGTATATACATATATGTATATACATATATATATACACATGTATGGATGCATGTATGTATGCATGCGTGTATATATATAGATATGTATGCATGTATGTATGCAGGTAGGGTTGTATGTATGTCTGTAGTTATATATGCACGTATGTATGTATATGGGTATTTCGGTAGGCGTGTCGGTATGTATGCATGCCTGTATGTGTGTAGGCATGCGTGTATGTACGCATGCGTGCATTCCTTTATGTAAGTAAGTGAGCAACTACACGTATACGTTTGTATGTATGCATGTGTACATGTATGTATGCAGTTGTGTATGCTGGTACGTATGTATGAGTGCATGCATGTAGGACATGCATATGTGTATGTATGCATGCTTGTATGTATGTATGCATGCGTGTATGCATGCATGCATGTATGCACATCCATTCATTTGTATATCTATGTATGTCGGACTGCATGTATGTATGTGTGTATGTATGCGCGTGTGTATGTGGACTTGCGTGTATGAAGGCATGTATGCATGCACGTCCTATGTATATATGTATGTACGTGTATACTTATATTTATACATGTCAAGGAATATGTGTGTCTGCATGCATTGATGTAATAATGTAAGTCTGCCTTGATGTATGTACATATATATAGATGTGCGTATGTTCGTATGAATGTATGTCTGTCTGTATGTATGTATGTATGTATGCATGCATGCATGCATACATGTATGTATGTATGCATGTATACATGTATGCATATGTATATATGCATGCATGTATGTATACATGTCGCTCCCTCTCGCTCTCTCTTTGTCTCTCTCTCTCTCTCTCTTTCTTTCATTCTCCTCATATATTTAGAGATCTTTATGTTCATAAGGGTAGGGGTCCCGTGGGCCCATGGTGCCCCCAGAGATTCCCGTGACGCCTCAAAGACGGCGACCACCTGGCCCCCTTTTTTGATACCCCCCTCTCCAGGGCGTCCAACGGGCCTCCAGGCGGCCCCAGAGGCCTCCAAGGCCTCCAAGACAGCCCAAGATACCCCCAAGGCCTCCTAAGAGGAACCGAAACGAGCCGAAGACGGCCCAAAAGGGCACCAAGAGCGCTCAGGATGACCTCAGCACGGCTCAAGAGGTCCCCAGTACACCCCCACGAGACCCCCCGGCGCGCTCCAAAGAGCCTTTGATGAGGCCAAGCGCATGTATTTCTTGCGATATTTGTGTGTGTATATATATATATATATATAACTGTCGTTTTTTTGTGTTTTCCCTCCTGGGGTTTCGGCCACCCAAGACGGCTCCAGGACGGCACGAGATGGGCCCAAGACGGCCTCGGCACGGCCCTAAGAGGGCTCGAAAACAGCCCAAGAGGCCCCCAAAGCGGCCCCAAAACTGCCCCACGAGATTCCCAAGAGGGTTCCAAAACGGCCCGTAGCCATTTTTGGCTCAAGCCAGTCGGGCAGGGCTGGGATCTGGCCTCGCCGCAGCGCGCGCAACCACCCTGGACGGGGGCGCGCGTGTGTTACCCGCGGCCACGATACGGCTGCCTTGGGCGTCGCGGAGTGGCTCACAGGTCACCGATGGCTCCGCAGCGTGCCGATGCGGGGGTGCTCTACTACACGGGGATCGGCCCTTGCGTGGTCAAGAACAGCTTCCTGCACTTCGCGGACGGCGAGGAGCAGCCGCCGTGCCTGTTCCGCCGCGAGAGGTCCGAGCCGTGCCTGCCCCAACCCAGGATCGGCGATGCGTGCCCCGCCTGCGACGAGCAAGCTCGGGGAGGTCGGGCCGGACGAAAGGGGGGGATCGGGAAAGGGGAGGTTACGAAATCTGCCGCGTGCAGCTGGTTTCGGCCCCGCCGCCGGGCCCATTCCTCGCTACATGGGCGCCTGCCGGCGCCGGGAGGCGCTAGGAGAATCAGCTGCGTGAGCTGATTCTCAACCTCCCCCCTTTGCTATCCCCCCCTTTCGCCCGGCCCGAGAAGGCTGGCGAAGCGCCTGCCGGAGCCCAGGCGGCGACGCCCCCCTCGCGGAGCTGCCCGCCGCTGGCTCCGCGTCGGCGCCGCCGCGGGTGCAGGCGGAGCTGCCGGCCTCCGCGGGGCGCGCCGGGGGCTGGCCCGAGTGGGGCAGCGGCGTGGTCACCGTCATGATCCGGCAGCTCCCGCGCCAGTACACCCAGCTGATGTTCCTGGAGGAGTCGGAGAAATCCAGGGCGTGAAAGACGCCCCTGCCCTGGTTTACGAGGCGCTGTGCGCTGAACCTCCTGCGGGCTGGCAGGGTAGACCCTGCACATCGCGCGTGTCGCGCGGCGTCCTGGCGGCTCTCTGGCCTCTGGGAGCTCCCAGGAGGTCTACGGACCACGCGCTTGCAACCCAGGGTCGGGGCGTTTTCGCAGCCCTCACTACGAAGGTAAACTTTTGGCGCTCCGCGCGGATCTCTTGGGTCCGCGCTGGGCCCCCCCCCCCGGCGCCTGGCCCCTGGCGCGCTCCGCGCGCCAGGGAGGGGGGCACAGCGCGGACCCAAGAAGTCCGCGCGGAACGCCACCATTTTATGGTTATGGCGTTTTCTCTTCCTCTGAGGAGCTCAACCGCCGGGGCTTCGAGGGCCTCTTTGATTTCGTGTACATCCCGTTCGACGGCAAGAAGGATGCCAACGTCGGATATGGCTTCGTGAACTTCACCGAGCTGGAGCACGCCGAGCGGTTTCGCAGCGAGTTCGATGGAATGTACTTGGCCCACCCGCTGAGGAACCACGGAAAGCCCTTGAGGATCCACCCTGCTGCTATGCAAGGGTACGAGGCGAACTACGACCACTTCGAGAAGTCGAAGGCCAGCCACAGCCAGGACATGAAGCACGGCCCGCTCTTCCTGGACCCGGGTCTGGGCGCGGCCGCGCCTGCCGCGCGGCAGCCCGCGGAGGTGGGCACGGCGGAGGCACAGGTGCGGGACCGCTGCGCTGCTCTCCCTCCGCGCAGGGCGACCCGCCCGGGCGTGACCGCGCCGGGGCCGGCCTCGCGCCGCAGGCGGCGCTGAGCCCCGATCGGCGGCCCCGTGGGGCCGCGCGCGCCTACTCGTTTCTCAGAGCGTGAATTGCCTACCCCGCTTTCGCTTCCAGGAAACACCAAGTCATACCACGCGCCTCCTCGTCAAGCGACCTGACCAGCACAGGCCGTAGTGTGGCATCGCTAGGTATCTCTTGGAAGCGAGGGTGGTCAGAAGCGAGGTAGGTTCGTTTTCCCCCTGGTTTCTGCCCGCTCGCCGGCCCTGCCAGCGCCGGGTGTCGCACGCGCCACCACAGGGCGCTGGGCCGCGGCGCGATGGGGGCGGGGGAGGGCGGGGTCGAGACGGAGCAGAGGCACCTCTTGAGCGGGGGCCTGCACTCGAAGAAGCTCCGCTGGCGCTCGGCCGGCTCTGGTGGCTCGTTGTCGTAATCTTCGGGGGCGGAAAAGAGGGGGGTGATGACTAGGGGGGGGTGGATATCATGGCGTGGGTCATGATATCTCCCCAGATTTCGTGGCGCCTCTTCTTATTTTATTACGTCCCTGGCCCCCCCCGCTGGGCCGCGCACATGCCGCCTGTCATGATTTGCACCCCCCCCTCTTGGACCCCCCCCTCTTGGCCGCCCCCGAAATCTGCTCCGTGTTGTGAATACCTATGCCACCACCCTGCGGGTGATTTGAGGGAGTTTCTGTGGAACTCACGTCATCCTCACCCCCGGCGCGAAGAGCACGAGTCCAGAGCGGCCTCCGGCACCGTTTCCGGACGGATCCGGACGGATCCGCTGGATCCGGGGACGAATCCCAAACCGGCGCCCTCGCCTGAGACATCCCCGCAAAACCGGCCCCGGGGGAGGTGCCCAGAGGAGCCCAGAGCGGCCTCCGGCACCGTTTCCGGACGGATCCGGACGGATCCGCTGGATCCGGGGACGAATCCCAAACCGGCGCCCTCGCCTGAGACATCCCCGCAAAACCGGCCCCGGGGGAGGTGCCCAGAGGAGCCCAGAGCGGCCTCTGGCACCGTTTCCGGACGGATCCGGACGGATCCGCTGGATCCGGGGACGAATCCCAAACCGGCGCCCTCGCCTGAGACATCCCCGCAAAACCGGCCCCGGGGGAGGTGCCCAGAGAAGCCCAGAGCGGCCTCCGGCACCGTTTCCGGACGGATCCGGACGGATCCGCTGGATCCGGGGACGAATCCCAAACCGGCGCCCTCGCCTCAGACATCCCCGCAAAACCGGCCCCGGGGGAGGTGCCCAGAGGAGCCCAGAGCGGCCTCCGGCACCGTTTCCGGACGGATCCGGACGGATCCGCTGGATCCGGGGACGAATCCCAAACCGGCGCCCTCGCCTGAGACATCCCCGCAAAACCGGCCCCGGGGGAGGTGCCCACAGGAGCCCAGAGCGGCCTCCGGCACCGTTTCCGGACGGATCCGGACGGATCCGCTGGATCCGGGGACGAATCCCAAACCGGCGCCCTCGCCTGAGACATCCCCGCAAATCCGGCCCCGGGGGAGGTGGCCAGAGAAGCCCAGAGCGGCTTCCGGCACCGTTTCCGGACGGATCCGGACGGATCCGCTGGATCCGGGGGCGAATCCCAAACCGGCGCCCTCGCCTGAGACATCCCCGCAAAACCGGCCCCGGGGGAGGTGCCCACAGGAGCCCAGAGCGGCCTCCGGCACCGTTTCCGGACGGATCCGGACGGATCCGCTGGATCCGGGGACGAATCCCAAACCGGCGCCCTCGCCTGAGACATCCCCCAAAACCGGCCCCGGGGGAGGTGCCCAGACAAAGCGGCCCTCCGGCACCGTTTCAAACGGATCCGGACGGATCCGCTGGATCCGGACGAATCCAAACCGGCGCCCTCGCCTTACATCCCCTCAAAAACCGCCCCGGGGAGGGGCCAGAGAGCCCAGACGCCTCCGGCACCGTTTCCGAACAATCCGGTGGATCCGGGACGAATCCCAAACCGGCGCCCTCGCTTGAGACATCCCACAAACCGGCCCCGGGGGAGGTGCCCACAGGAGCCCAGAGCGGCCTCCGGCACCGTTTCCGGACGGATCCGGTGGATCCGCTGGATCCGCTGGATCCGGGGACGAATCCCAAACCGGCGCCCTCGCCTGAGACATCCCACAAAACCGGCCCCGGGGGAGGTGCCCAGAGGAGCCCAGAGCGGCCTCCGGCACCGTTTCCGGACGGATCCGGACGGATCCGCTGGATCCGGGGGCGAATCCCAAACCGGCGCCCTCGCCTGAGACATCCCCGCAAAACCGGCCCCGGGGGAGGTGCCCACAGGAGCCCAGAGCGGCCTCCGGCACCGTTTCCGGACGGATCCGGACGGATCCGCTGGATCCGGGGACGAATCCCAGGCCGGGGAGGGGGAGAACCACAAGGAGAAGGATGAGGAGGAGGAGGAGGGGAGAGCACGAGGACGAGGAGGACGAGCAGGACGAGGAGGCCGAGGACGAGCACGAGCAGGAGGAGGAAAAGGAGGGGGAGCAGGAGAAGGAGGACGAGCAGGAGGAGCACGAGGACGAGCACGAGGAGGAGGACGAGGAGGACGAGCAGGAGGAGGAGGACGACCAGGAGGAGGAGGAGGAGGACGAGGAGGGGGAGGACCACCAGGAGGAGGAGGAGGAGGGAAGGAGGAGGAGGACGAGGAGGGGAGGGCGGCCGGCTGCCCCGGCCGGCTGCCCCGGCCGGCTGTCCCGACCGGCCGCGCCTGCGCCCGGCCGCGGAGTGCGGTCAAGGGAAGGATTCTTGCATGAACTATTGTACTTGCATATCTGAAGGGCTGATGGCCTCCCTGGACGGCTCCGTGCGCCCTTCTCGGGAGCCCCTCGGACGAATTATTCGGGCCTCCTGTTCGCCACGTCGGGCCTTCCTGGGGGACGGGTTTTCTTGGTGGGTTCTCCGTGGTCTTCTTGGTGGACAGACATGGGCCTCTCATATGTGCGCGCCGACTTAGGGCGACGCATGTGCCTGGTCCAGCACGCGCGGTACCCCCGGGGAGGGGTTGCGGTTTGGCCAGATTGTGAGGACGCTTCAGAGCGGAACGCCCCTCCACATCCTTCCTGATCCCTCACTCATTTCAACCCACGCTCCCTCAGGTGCACACTGCCGGCGCCAGCGCGAAGATAAGAGGCACCTGGGGGGCGCCCCGTTCCGCGAATCCCACTGCAGAGCGGGGATCTCGACCCCCCAATGGGATTCGTGGAGCGGGGGGGGCCTTGGGGGGCCCAAACTTTTTTTGGGGCGGGGGGGGCTGCCCCGTTCCCTCGGATGGGCACAGCCCCCCCCTCGCCGGCCTCCTCTCCTTGATCCCTCCTCCTAACGTAACGCGCCCGCTTTAAGTTAATGCATGTGATAGATTTCCTTTCTGGGGACCGACCTTGCTTTCCTGGCGGTAGTCTGGCGAGATCTGCTGGTTGTTGGAGGAAGTAAATGTGCTCGGGGCCCACGGCTTTATACAATTGCGTTTGGTTATGTAAGCGGCTCCGCCGTTCCGCCCCAAAGGGTATGGCCGCGCCTTCCTCAGGCTCGCCTCGGGAAGGCGCGACCCAAAGGCTGGTCATTGACGTTCATTGCCCACCCAACGCCCGGAGCCAACGGTAGGCCAGTTCGTGCTCTTCGAGTTCCCCGAATTCCACTCCCGGGCCACATTTTGAATGCCTCAGGCCAACTGTAGGCCACTTCGTGTTCTTCGTTTGCCCAAAACACCACTCCTGGACCATAATTTGATTGCCCGGAGCCACCTGTACGCCACTTCGTCTTCGTCGTGTTCCCAGAACAGCCCAGAACACCACTCCTACACCATATTTTGATTTCCCGGATCCACCTGTAGGCCGCGAGGTCACCGCTGGCCGGCTCCCGCAGGCCGTCGGCGAGCTCTCGGCGCGCGTCGACGACAGCCTGGCCTCCACCGCCGAGGCCGACAGGGAGGCCCGCAGGACGGATTCCGAGCGCCACCAGACGAGCGTCACGGACCTCATGGACGCCCTGCGGGCGGAGCGGGTGCTGCGCGCCTCGGAGGCAACCAGGCTGCGGCAGGCGCTCGCCGACCTCGCCCTGAACATGAACGCCGCCCTCGGCGATGAGCTCGCGCTGCGCGGGTCCGAGGGCCTCGCGCAGGCCTTCCAGGCGCTGCAGGCCGCCATCGGCGAGGAGGCCCTGCAGAGCGCGGCGCGGTCCGGCTCCGGAAGCCCGGGCGGGAGCCGGCTGGCCTCCGCGTCGGCGGCCTCGGCGGGCGTGGAGAGGCTCAAGCTCGAGGCCGACGCGCTGCGGTCGGACCGCTCGGCCGCGCTGGCCAGGGAGGCCACGAGGACGAGGAGGAGGGAGGGAGGGAGGGAGGGAGGGAAGGGTCGCCTGGCAGGTTGGGAACCCGGCAGGTTGGGGCAGGGTGCCAGGGACTTGGCCTTCCCTTTCTTGGAGGAAGGGAAGAGGGGGAGGGAAGGGAGGGACGGGCGGAGAGAGGGAGAGAGGGAGAGAGGGAGAGAGGGAGAGGGGGAGGGAGGCGGAGGAGGAGGAGGAGGAGGAGGAGGAGGAGGAGGAGGACGGGGAGGAGGAGGAGGGGGGAGGGAGGAGGGAGGGAGGGAGGGAGGGAGGGGGAGGAGGACGAGGAGGAGGACGAGGAGGAGGAGGAGGAGGAGGAGGAGCAGGACCTCCTCCTCCGCCTCCTCCTCCCCCTGAGGCCACGGAGCTCGTCGGCTGGTGAGGAGGGCTCCGTCGCCTTATCGGCGGCCCCAGCGTTGCCGTGCGTGGTGTGAGAGTGGGCGACGCTGTTGGCGTGCCATGGCCAGTACCCGTGCGGATTCATGGGCAAGTTTGTGAACGTGCAACAATTCATTCGATTTACCACGGCGGCCGTCCTGGAGATCGCGCGGGGGCTTTCGGGGGAGAGCTTCCAATTGTTCAAGGTGTGCGCCTTGGTGGCAGGCCTCACGCCCCAACGAGCGTACTTTCCGGCATTCTCCAGCGGAACTGTTCCCAGCTGCTTCCTCGCGCACGTCCGGTCATCCAGTTGGGAGTGCTGTTGACCACGGAAGGCGCTCACGAAGGAGTGTGGAGCATGATCGCCACTGTAGGTGCTGCTACTTTCCCGGCAGGCGTCCCTTTCATCTGCGCGTGCGGCACGATGGCTTGCCTCGCGGAGTCAGGGGGCGAGCTTCTGAAAATGACTGTGCCATGGTCGTCGCCATGGTCGCCGCCGTGGTCGTCGCCATCGTCGTCGCCGTCGTCGTCGCTGCGGCCGCCGCCGCCGCCGCCGCCGCCGTCGTCGTCGTCGTCGTCGTCGTGGTGGTCGTGGTCGTCGTCGTCGTCGTCGTCGTCGTCGTCGTCGTCGTCGTCGTCGTCGTCGTCGTCGTCGTCGTCGTCTTCGTCGTCGTCGCCGTCGTCGTCGTCGTCGTCGTCGTCGTCCGGGGGGGGCCCTGGCCACTCTGGCATCCAGGCGCCCCGAACAAGAGAAACCTTGGGGGGGGGCGCCCGAAAGAGGGGCATGGCAGGGGGTTCGCGTGGAGGTTCGAACATCGAGGATCCATTAGGCTTTCGTCGTCTCGGCCCCTGGAGGCCGGTTTTTAGCCCGGGGACCCTCGGAAATCGATCCGGGGTGAACATGTGCGTCCAGGGGACCCCGGGGGGGATCTGGGGACCGATTTTGAGCCGGGTCCACGTCCATGTTCGAACTTCGAAGGTCGAGGATCGAGGCTTTCCGGCCCTCGGAGGCCCTCCACGTCGGCGCGGCTGGACGCCGCTCGGAAAGCCAGTGCGCTTGGACCCCGAGAGGGGTCCAGGGATTCGTTTTCAGCGGGTCCTCCCGAGAACGAGGGGCGTGGAAGAGGGTGGTTGCGAATCATGGCCCGAGGCATGTGCGCGGCCGAGGGGGGGCGTTACCGTCGCCCTTGTCGTCGTCGTCGTCGCCCCGCCCCCCCCCGCCCTCCTGGCCCGCCATCCTCCCAGCCTTCCTGAACCTCACCCCCCTGATCCTCACCCTCGTGGCCCTCTCCGTTGTGATCCTCACACTTGTGTTCCTCACTCTCCACCCCCCACCCCCCGCCCACCCCCCGCCCCCGCCCCCTCGTCATCACCTCCTCCTCCTCCTCCTCCCCCCCCCTTTCCCTTCATCCTCCCCCCGCCCCCTCCCGCCCGGCCACTTCTCTCCCTCCCCTCCCTTCCCCCTCCCCCCCTCCCTCCCTCCCTCTCTCCCTCTTCCGCCCTCCCGGGGAGTGGTGGGGGCGGCGGGGGGTGAGGCAGGAGGAAGACGAGGAGCAGTAGCAGGGGGGGTGAGGAGGATTGGGAGGAGGCGGAGGAGGAGCAGGAGGAGGAGGAGGGGGAGGAGGCGATGGGGGAGGAGGAGGGAGACGAAGAGGAGGAGATAGAGAGGAAGGAAGAGGAGGATGCGGAGGACGAGGAGGAGGAGGAGGAGGAGGAGGAAGGGGCAGGAGGAGGAGGAGGAGAACGAGCAGGCGGAGGAGGAGGCGGAGGGCCCTGATCTCCGACGATATGATTCTTTCAATGCTGGTGGCTTTCCTCGGTTTCGGCCTTCGGTGCCGCGTTATGGCATCACGGCGCAGCAAAGACGGATCTGGGGAAGGGGTCGGGACTTTTTCGGGCCGTTGGGGCAGGAGGAGGAGGAGGAACAGCAGCAGTAGCAGGGGGGTTCCGGAGGATTGGGAGGAGGAGGAGGAAGAGGAGGCGGAGGAGGAGGAGGAGGAGGAGGAGGAGGAGGAGGAGGAGGAGGAGCAGGAGCAGGAGGCGGAGGAGCAGGAGGAGGCGGATGAGGAGGAGGAGGAGGAGGACGGGGAGGAGGCGACGGGGGACGAGGAGGGAGATGAAGAGGAGGAGATAGAGGGGAAGACAGAGGAGGATGCGGAGGACGTGGTGGAGGACGAGGAGGAGGGGGAGGAGGAGGAGGAGGAGGAGAACGAGCAAGAGGAGGAGGAGGCGGCGGAGGGCCCTGATCTCCGAGGGTACGAATCTTTCAACCCTGGTGCGTTTCCTCGGTTTCGGCCTTCGGTGCCGCGTTCTGGCATCATGACACAGCAAAGACGGATCTGGGGACGGGGCTGGGACTCTTTGGGGCCGTGGGGGCC